AGTTATGAACCCTTCTGAGTTTTTAATCTTCCTTTTCCTTTTCCTGTAATGTACTGGAAGTGACATGTAACATATTTTTTTTGGATGACTATTGTAAACCTACAGTAAAGCTTCCAGTGAGTTACCATTTGACTTCTCTGTAAACTCTCTGGAAATGTTACGAGATTTCACGGAAGTGTAATTGTTAGATAGTCGTTACACCTGATCACACGTAAAGAACAACTGGGAAACATGAAAAGAGAAGAAAAAGAATGATGAATTCAGGAACAATCAGCATAACCTGTAGGTTTTTAGGAAACACAAAGCAAGATGGAAAAATAAAGGTGGATTATTAAAAATGACATGCAGTGATAAAAAAAAAGAACAGAGCTTGAAAAAAATTGCTGTCTGTCCTAAAATTTGTAGGTTTTAGGGTTAAATTCATACTAAATTTAACCTCCAAGAGGAGATCTGTCTGCATTTATACCTTATTATTATACAGTTATGAACCCTTCTGAGTTTTTTTTAATCTTCAGTTTCTTTTTCCTGTAATGTACTGGAAGTTACATGTAACATTTTTTTGCATGACTCAAAGATTTTATATTGTAAATATATAAATTTAAAGGTGGATTATTAAAAATGACATGCAGTGATAAAAAAAAAAAGTAGAACAGAGCTTGAAAAAATTTGTATGTTTTAGGGTTAAATTCATACTAAATTTAGCCTCCAAGAGGAGATCTGTCTGCATTTATACCTTATTATTATACAACAGTAGTTTGTACATGCTTAACCTGTATGGCTTTGTTATCTATTTTTAATGTATAAGTTAGACAGTGTTTTCCCTGCGATATAGCCTCTGAAATGCCTCATATAGTGTAATCCTCTGTTGGTAATAAAATATACATGCGAAAGGATGGCATGGGAGGGATGGAAAAAAGGCAGACAAAAAGAGGGTAGTACAAAGGCAGAGCCAGCAAGTTGGTGTCGTAACAGCAATAACTGGTCTTTGATTACTTTTGAACTGATGAATGGACCCACTATTAAATATAAATCTAATGTCATCAAAGTCACACCTCATTGGCTGCTGTGTTCAGGCAGCAATGGTTGTGTGTGTGGACAATGCTAAAGAAGAAAAATGTGTGCAAAGGTGGATTATGTGCGTTTTTGCACATAAAAGCCAAAACATTCAGCAGCATGTGTTTTTTATAGTCCTTTGGAAGTTGAACAACCTTCCATCATTTCATCACATTCACCACCTTATTTCTCTCTCCATCTGCAGACAGCACAGCCAGTATTTATGTGCTCCGTAAGGGATTCAGTCGTCTCACCCAGGATGTTTACTACCTTCCCATCGAGATAAACGACAACGGTATTCCCGCTATGAGCAGCACCAACACCCTGACCATCAGAGTCTGCTCCTGTGACAGCAAAGACACAATTCTGTCTTGTAATGTGGAGCCCTACGTCCTTCCTGCTGGCCTTAGCACTGGAGCCCTGATAGCTATACTGGCTTGTATTGTCATTCTGCTTGGTAAGGAACAAAATTCTTTATCGTTAGTTTGGGGGGGGGGAATTACTAAAATATAAAAATATATGACATTTATTCATTCCTGGATCAAATTTTAGGGAGGCCACTCTAAAATTGCATAGGGTGTGTTTATAGACTGAGCCATTTAACTGCAAACCTTTCTAGTAATACCAAAAAGGTTGACATTTACACTGAGGTGAAACATCAGCAATTGACTCAGGCCGCCTCCTATTTTTGACTCCTCATTCAAACTGTGCTGCATCGTTTGATCTTCTTAAGAGTAGAGGTCAAGGAATCACTTATGTATAAGCACTTACAGAATCACTCTCATACCCCATCCATGCATAATCACTTAGTGCGGGTTCGCACATTGTACTTGGAAATGTTGCAATAGCAGGGCTTGACATTTACTTTCATGTCCAAGGACCACAGGTGCCCCACACTGAAAAATTTCGGAGTACATGAAGAACTTTAGTGGTGCAGTAAAAAATAAAAATGTATCCATTAAAGTAAGATCAATTATTCACAGCCAAATTATTAAATTAATTTGAACTATTTTTAATATGTAACTATTTATATAAAAAGAAACCGTACGAAAAATATTAACATTTGACTTTTAATGTTTTTTAGCCTTTTCCAGAGGTTTCTGGCGAGTTTAGGAGGCAAAGCCACAGGGATGCGTTTGTAGGGTTTTTTCATAGTCAGTGTGTACCTATTAGGTGGATAGAAGACCTTGAAAGTACCACTTTTGTCAGTGTTTAAGCCTGCTGAAAAGGTAGTTTGGTAAAGGCTTTTTTTAGCCGCTAAGGTTTTGATTGTGCTTACAAGTAACAAGCGCAGCTGTCAACTAAAAAAAAAAAAAAAAAAACATAGTATCTTTTACTTCAATTGGTCTCCATTGCCGCCTCTTTGCTGCCTACTGTGTGTGTCAGACGGAAAAGCTGCAGCTCAATCATAAGAGAGCAGTGATAGTCGCTGTTGTATTGTTATCCTTTATGCGCAGGAAATATATATATATATAACATACACACACTGTCTGCTTGGGTTGAATTTTTTTTTTTATTACAACACACATGCACACAAGACAGTTCTTTAGAGTACACACACATAGAAACACATCTATTTTTAGCCTTATATCTCATCATAAATATGCTTTCAAAACAGAAAATCTTTCACAAGCCATTAGCTGATTCTTCAACCTTAATTTACACTGCATTTTACACAGAGTACAACACATTTGAAAACCTTTGGAGAGTTTGACATGTTGATGACAATTTAGAATTAAAATGGCATGCGTGTATAAAATAATACAATAATGATATGAATTAAAATGTCCAAGGTGCAACCTCCCACAGTGCACACTAATTATCCACGATTAACTTGTCTACTACCTGTAATCATGAAGGTTTTTGTAAAATGTTTATTAAATGGAAATATAAACCCTTGCATTTTTGTTTTCTATTTGGCAGCAATAGTAGTGTTGTTTGTTGCACTGAGGCGTCAGAAGAAAGAGCCACTGATAGTTTTCGAGGAGGAAGACATCCGGGAGAATATTATCACTTATGACGACGAGGGAGGCGGTGAGGAGGACACAGAGGCTTTCGACATTGCCACACTGCAGGTAAGGGTGAGAGGACGAGTGGCAATAACCATCTTGGTATTAAAGATAAAAGTCTATGGGGAAAAAGAGGAAATTGAGGGTCTGCTGCTTCAGCCTCAGGCAGGTCAAAAGCAATCTGTGACTGTCAGTTTCTGCTTATGCATCTAAACATTACACTAAAAACCTACAAGTACTTAAATCTGGTTAATATTCCACCTTATCTGCCAGCAGATAAATACAATTCTTAAGTTTGTTCATTCTCTGCAATATACATCTGTGTCCTTTCTCTCTTTCTCCGACTTTTCAGAACCCAGATGGTGCCAACGGTTTCCTGCCAAGAAAGGATATCAAACCAGAACTTCAGTATCCCATCAGGCCCGGCATTGGCCGTCCTGCAGCCAACAGCGTTGATGTGGATGACTTCATCAAGACTCGAATTGCAGAAGCCGACAGTGACCCGACTGCACCTCCTTACGACTCCATTCAGATCTACGGCTATGAAGGCAGAGGATCATTGGCCGGGTCATTGAGTTCCCTCGAGTCTGTCACAACAGAGTCCGACTTGGATTATGACTATCTGCAGAGTTGGGGGCCGAGGTTTAAGAAGCTGGCAGATTTGTACGGGACCAAAGACTGCTCCATTAATGATGCTGATGATGGTGAAGACTCTTAACAGTGGTCTCACTGAGTGGACGCCTCCCCGATTTCTGATTTCTTGATTCCATGAGGATTTGTTAACTGAGGGTTAACACTCCCCAGTTCCCAACTGTTACCAACTACCAACTGATCAGTTCATGCCAATTAGTCAACAAACGTTAACAGCTCCCCCTTCCATGGCAACGCTCCAGTCCTCCAAGATGATTTGTCAATGGACACATTGTGAACATCTGGACATGAAACACTCCCGGTTTTCCCAAATCTCCCTTGTCCTTTCTGTGTCTCTTTCCCACCTTCTATTTCTACAGACTTGAACATTGCAGGGCTGGGAGATTTGCTATGTCAGCAATTTGTCTGTTTGGGAGTAATTTGATGGAAAAAACGTTGCTGTATGGTCAAAATGACTTGCTTTTAGCAAAATGTTTAGTTTATTAGAGGTTCTATATACTTTTGTGGACTGGATTCACATTCTTCTTTTATGGTTATTGAGGGAAATTTTATTCCCTTGAAAGGTTTCGGCGTGGAGAAAATCCCCTTTGTTGATCTCTCAAAGACAAAGAGGAAGGGAGAGAAATAAATTAATTAAAGGAAGAGCTTGTGTGGATTCCAGCAACTGCCTGATGTTATTAAATAGAAATAAAATGTACAGATGTGTTAGTAGGGTCAAAAATCAAATGGAATGATTTTGCCGACGTGTCGTGTGTGTGCCGAATTCAGCAGGTACTGTCGCTTTGATGGCATGACCGACTCTGGGTTGTTGATACTGTGAAGATGCTCACAGCATCTTCACAGTATGGTGGCCTTATAATAAATAAACAACAACTCCAGGGGTAAAAACACAACAAGAGTAAGGAGTAAGAGAATGCTATCTTCAGTAGCTACACAAAGACAAAGGAACACACAAGGACTGAAAATACTACACAGATACAATTTTTCTACTCTCAAAAAGAGACAGACTCAACAAGGATTCAATTTTCAAACTGTGGATGATTCTTTGTTTTCATTCTTCACTGCAGAGAAGACCTGAAAAGAAAAAGCTGCCCTTCTTCATGCCCTCACCCTGTGTCCCCATTCCTCACAACAACAATCACTCCCCATACCGAGTCTACCAACGAATGATCACTTCCTCATTTGGAGTCCACTGATGATGATCAGTCACAATGAGTACAAACCTGTGAGCTCTAAAAATCGCCTTAAACTTAATAGACACTCTTGCAACGCAGTGCATTCTCTTTTTTTTCCTCCTTTTGTTTCTTTTTGTAACTTGAGACGTATATTCAGAAAGCAAACTATTCTCCATGTTAGGTGTGTACAGAGCAACGTGCTGACGTGATATATCACTTTGAGGATCCAACCTGCGCCCCGCACAGTCTTTAGATGGGATGTACTGAGTCTGCCAGCACAGTAAAATGTAGATTGGTAAAATGTGCATTGTGTCTTTTTCCAGTACCGTGCACGGCATGTTGGCGGCAACATCTGTTGTATCAACATGTGTTGCTATTTAGAGACTGGAAAATAACATAAGTATGTTTTCAGAACCACATTTGCTGAGGCTGAAACCAAAACATCCTTTTTAAATGTGTAGGTTCTTGGTCAATCTCTTTTTTTTAATGTTATTATATTATTATGATTATTATTGTTGTTTTCTATTATTATTGTTATCATTATTATAACTGTTCTTTTACTGGCTGCAGCTACATGGGAAGAAATTTTGGTTTAACTCTTTGCAGCTCAGATTTAATATCTGTACCGTTGCCTAAACGTGGAGAGACTACATGGTATTCTAGTCTCATTTTTAGGCTGCCGTAAGAAATTTACTGCTTAAAGTTAAACAGACTTGGTTTATGCCTGTGTCAATACAACCTTTCATTTCTTTCATTTTTGTTTCTCTTTTCATTGTTTGGCATTTCTTTGTTCTTTCTCCCTGTTCAAGAGGAAAACTAGCAATTTGTGTTTGTTGCAGTGAGAGAACGCCTCGTTTTTATTCTCTGTCAAGTTTTATGGTACCAATTTGTACAATTTTAAAAGTTCTTATTTTAGTATACATGCAGAATATTCCAGTATTACAACAAAAACGTGTTAAGAAGATAAAGATTAAAAAAAAAATGTTACAGCATCACACTTATATTTTCTGAACATTGTACTGTTGCTTTACTATGTGCTTCAATCTCCGAAGCGAAAAAAAAAGAAAAAAAACAACTTTGAAATAAATGCTCTTTTTATAAAATGATACTGGACTGTGTTTGGGAGTCAACTTTGTGTTCACTTTGGAAACTGCAGTCCTTTCTTTTTTTTTTAACATTAGGAACATGTAGTCTTCTAAATATGTATATATAAAAACAAAATCACATTTCATGTGTGGACCCACTCAGTTTGAGTCAAATGCACAAAACCCATTATTTCTATGCTTAAAAGAAAATAAATGAAGTCATAATTGTAAGCTACTCATCATATTAAAAACATATCTTCAGACCAACTTCAGTTCTTTTTCAGCAAAATCCTAATAAAGACATACCTAAAGCTGGCTCAACTTTTGCTACTGACCTACAAACAGATGTAGTTGATACTAAACCACAGATCTGAAAAACACACTGCCACAAACATAAGTTCTTCTCTTATTTTAACTTAAAAAAAGAGTAATAACATGGTAACAACTCTCTCTATCAACAATGCACTTAAGCCCAATGGTGCTTGGAGCCCAACACTTGGACCTCATTCATTATTATCAGGAATTGATTAGTATCACCCATTGGTTACTGAACCCCATCCTAAAACTTAAAGCAGTGCATTCTAGCCTTTGCAAGATTAAGGTCAGATTGACTAAACAAAGCAAATTAGCATGAAGTCCCAAACACACTAATGGGAATGTAAAGTCCTGTCATGGGACGTACTAACAATGCACTAATTTATAAACACAGACATGACAGCCGAGAGCACCCCTGATTAGCGGGTCAAAAATGACCTGACCAAGGAACGAGCAATCTGCTTATCAAAACAACACAGTACAAGTATAGATTTTGCATGCATGGCAATACAGATCAATGTGACACCACTGAAGGGAACTGATAAAAGCCAAAGTCTTCAATTGGACAATGAGGGATACTGTCTGTGGCCTTGGACCATGGGCTGCTACTCTCTGTATAACTCTGACAGCTCCGTATTTTTCCAAAGAAAGGTAAACATTTAAGGTCTTATCATGACCAGTGTTCAATGTAATGAAGTTACTGCTATCATCCTACATGCACACTGTGCACATTGTTCTTCTTTTTTATTTTT